TGCCTGACCTACCTAACTTCTATAGAAGACTGAAATCTTTAAGCTGCCCAAACACCAGGATTAGTAAAATCATCTCATGATCCACAATTTATAGTTTAACTTATATGTTTAACAAGAAAAAAAATAAGATCCTTTTATGGTCCAAAAAGGGAAAGCTGTCCCAGATGGCTTCCTAGATATTCATTTCCACATGACAGTGGGCTCGTCTGCCCCACTGTCCTTCTAGATTCATAATACTACTTCCTGTCATTTTCATCACAAAGCTTACAGGAAACTTTCTTTTAATGCAGTATGTTACTGGAATGTGACCAGGAAAATCTAACTGCTCTAGACTATGTATGATTCAACTTTCATAGAAAATACTTAATGGACATTCATGAGCCTTGATGTCATAGAAAGAAGGTAAAATAAGTCAAAGAAGTTGTGCTGAACAATGGCATCAAGGCAGAGGTTACAAGCTCCCCACTCAACTCTCTCACAGTGAGAACTCAACTCACTGTGAGCAGAGGCCAGGACACAGGACAGGTCACAGACACTGTGCAACTGTTTCTCTTGGGCTCTAGCAGTCGCTTGCGACTCTGCAGGTCAGTACAAGTATGCATATTCTGCAAAGTGAAAAGTCATTCTCTAAAAGACCATGAAGACTAAGACTATACAGAAGCTGGGCGAGATGGTGCACACCTGTAATCCCAGCAGTCAGGAGACTGAGGCAGGAGGATCACTGTGAGTTCCACACAATCCTGGGCTACAAAGTGAGCCCAAGGTCAGCCTGAACTGTACAGTGAGATCTTGTCTCAAAAAGACCTGAAAGAAAGGAAGAAACAAAGAAAGAATCTATATAGAATCTGTACATGAGGACCCTCTGCCCAAGGTATCACAGGAAGCAGGAAATGAGTTGCTTGTTTTTTAAACAAAAATAATTGCTAACATATCTAACAATAGATACCATTTCCTCATTTTCTCTTGGACATAGGTGTAACTAAAGTGGGAGCAGGGCGGGGAGTAGCTAGCTCCCTGGTTTATCAACTCCCACCCAAGCTTGGTGGCACACACTTATAATCCCAGCACCCTAGAAACCTAAAGCAAGAAGACAGCAACTTGGAGCCTAGCCTGGGCAACCAGGCAATACCCTGCCTCAAAATTTAAAAACTGTAAAGGGCTGGGGAATAGCTCAGCACTAAAGCATTTGCCTAGTATGTAGTAGGCCCTGTGTTCAATTCTGAGTACTGCAAGACAAAACAAAACAAAATACACTAACAAAAAACGTTCGTCCTCCACTGACTTTACCTGCCTACTCATTTGGGACTTCATTTCTGAACCAAAACAGAAAAAAAATCGATTAAAACACTTCCAATATCATAATATACAAGTGATCTGTGTGTGTTATGTATGTATGTAAACCTAAAACGAATATGAAAAAGCTGATTTTTAAAACTGGCAAAAACTATTTGTTTACAAAAAGAATAACCAATTAACATGTGAAAACAGTAATCATTCTTCTAATCAGGAAAAATCACATTAGTATTTTTGCCCATTAGCCTGGGGGAGAAAATCTCACCTTGACAAGAGTCTAGTGAACAGGCAATCTCAAACACTAGAGATGGAAATGCAAATTAGATTCTTGATGAGCAATTTGGCAGGAGCTACTAAAACTCTGTATGTTCATACATTTTGCCCCACCTACCCAGGCATTCCATAATTCCAAAAGGGACTAATTCATATGTACCCACTAAAATAACATATACATATGTACAGGTCATCCCACACAGTCTTATTTATAAACATAAATGAAAGCAACAAAAACATTAATGAATAAAGGACAGACTAAGTGAATCATGGTATACCCACAGGCTGGAAAGCTATACAGCTGTTAACAAGACAGGTAAAGCTTTATTTGTCAACAGCAAAAAAGCAGATACTGTACACTGTTAAGTGGAAATATCATGTTATTATAATTAGCATACCCTGAAAATTTTAGAGCAAAAACAAATATACAGCTGGGTGTGGTGGCCATGCCTGTAATTCCAGTGCTTGGGAGGCTGAGGTAGGATTGCTGCAAGTTAGAGATCAGCCTGGGTTACAAAGTAAGCTCAAGACCAGCCTGAACTGCATAACAAGACCCTGTCTCAAAAAGACAAAAATAAATTTTAAAAATGTATGATACACATCCCATACACACAATATTCAAATACTATGGATTTTCCCAATGTCAACACACTTCAATTGGTATAAAGTATATAATGCACACGTTTTATCTTTATATATTTACACCTATAGACATTTGCTTTTTTCATTTTTTTCAAGTCATACGCTATTTTTCTAAGCACATAAATACACAATACTTGACTACTTTAAAAAAAAAGAGAAGCAGACACTTAATAAAGAGGTTGCTTAATAAAGAGGTAGCAATGAAGCCTTCCACTACAATTAACCTGGAAACACTGCACGTGTGCACACATGTGCACACACACACAAGAATAGTAACACGAGAACACCAAGCAAAAAGTCCCTCCAAGCACTCCAGACTGCCAAAACTGATCCATCAGAAACTGATGGGGAAAAAATAAATAAACCACACTATGGAAAGCATAAAAGTGGAGAAAAAAACAAACGAATAAGATGTTACTTCAGTTCAAAAATGTAATTAGACGATGGAAGCAAGTTTACTGGAAACAGTAAGAAAAAGATGGCTGTGCCAAACATTATAATATAAAACATGAAGGACCAGCTAGAAAAGAGAGTCCAAATAGAAAGCACCAAAACACAAATCCACGCTATTACAAATTCTAATCAAAGTACAGGCAGCAGAAGTCTCCAATGTGAAGACAGAATATCATGAGGAGAAGACAGGGATGTTTTCAAAGAGCAATTACGCAGACACCTTAAAAACCAGAACTTGTAAAATGGCTACAACAGCTAACAGATCATGCAAAGACTTAAGTGGAATTAGTGAAAAATCAGAAGACAGTGCAAACAGCGTAGAATCAGGGTTTATGGAAATAGCAAAACAATTTCCAAATATGGAGGAAGAATTTAACATACAGATATATGGAGGCATACAGACCACCAAATAGACACGATCACGGAAAAAAAAAAAGCCTCCACAACACATCAGAGCCAAAATTTCAGAAGTCCAACACAAGGAAAGAATCTTAAAAACCGTTAGATAAATGCAAGAAATTACTTATAATTGGTAAACCTCTCAGAATTACAACAGACTTCTCAATACAAACTTTAAAGGCCAAGAGAGCTTGGAATGAAATGTCCCAAGCCTTAGAATAAAACGACTTCCAAAGACTGATTAATCCTGCAAAACTATCTTTCAAAATTGATGAGAAAGCTATTCCATGACAAAGAACTTAAGAAATTCATGACATAAAATGAAGTTTATGTTCCAAGAGAAACAAAGCCAGTGCTCCCCAGATAACTCTGATGTAGGGAGACCTTTAAGTGGACTGTGTATTACACACCCCCTAATACCATTAAGACTTCTTTGGTCCAGCTCTGGGTCCCCAACTCTTATTTTACATGTTAGGGCAGGGTCCACAGTGGGGCTTCAGAAGACAGCAGACTGGAAGATACCTTTCTTAGTTCACAATGTTTCTTCTCCTCGCTTGTGAATGGCGAGTCTGAAGCATCTTGGGCCCTACCATCTTTATTTCTTCTGGAGACAGTTTGGCTATGTAGTTCACACCGGCTTGGCTTCGAACTATGTGACCCACACTGATCTCAAACCTGGGCAATCGTCCTGTCTCAACCCGAGAGGTGGAATTACCGCTACACTCAGTCTTTGCCGCTGTTTCCATACTTGTTTGCTGGCTCCTTGCCCAACTTACCCTCCCACCACCACCACCTTTAAATTTCTCGTGAGGAGATGGGAAGTTGCAGGATGAAAAGGGAGACAGCTGGAATGGAGGAAAAATACACTCAGCCCTCCATATATGCAGGCTCTGTATCTGTGGATTGAACCGGCCAGGGATTGAAAACAGGAAAATTTCTTTTGTACTGAAAATGTGCAGACATCTTCTTGTTCTTATTCCCTGAACAATACAGCATAACAACTATTTACACGGTATTTACATTGTATTACAAATCACAAGTAATCTTGAGACAAAAGTAAAGAGGAAAGGGTGAGGTTGTATGTAAATATTTCACTTTATAAAAGAAACTTGACCATCTATGAATTCTGATATTTGAAAGGATCCTTTTCCCCACAGATACCTGATATCAAGGAATGGCAGTAGTTGATTTAGCTCAAGTTTGGGACCAATAATGATGGAAACTTTGGAAAGAAAAAGGCAAAAGAGAGAAGAAAGAAAGAAAGAGCCAGGTATGCTGCACATATCTGTAACGCCGGCTACTCAGAAATCTGAGACAGGCAGATAGATCTCAAGTTTAAGGCAGCCTCCGAACTTTTGTGAGTCGCTACTTCAAGATAAAAAATAAATTAAAAATGTGTAGGGATGTAGCTCAGTACAACGGCTTGAGTTCAATCCTCAGTACCACAAAAAGAAAAGAGAGAAAAGCAGCAGGGAATCCTATATAACATATCAATAATTTTTTAATGATTAGCTGTTGATCAAGGATTGGCGCTACAGTGTTAAGGGCTTCAAAGTTACTGAAAACAACAAAAGCCCTCAAACATCAGCGCCCAGTGTGTCATTTATAATGAGATTAGATTCTAAAACACAGTGGGAAAACAAAAAAGAAACACACGAGAAGCGGTTTTCTTTTAAAGTACTGTTCTTGGAAACTTCTTTGCACCAGGACACAGGTAAAGTAGGGGGTTGTACATGAAGGCGTAGTACCTGAAAGAAAGCTAAGGGATCAAGCTGAGCTGAGGTCTCTTCTTCCTTGCATGCTCCTACTTCTCCTTGTTCATTGGGAGCTTTGCTGGCTAGAAGCCAGCAGCTTTCCTGCGGATGTCATCCCACCCAACACACCGGAAGGAGTGCAGGAACCAGGAATCAAAGGGAGGCGGACTCCGCTCCATCCCTTACCTCTTCTGATTCATGGAGGCCACCTGGAGCCATTCATTCGTGCTGGGATTGTAGGAGTGTGCGGCGGAGATCTCCTGGCTGCTGATCCTGTACCCACCCACGATGAAGAGGTAATTGTCCAGGACGGCGGCCCCGTAGCCCCTGACGTTCACCAGGTCGGGAGGAAGGTTGCTGGCCAGCGGGAACCAGCGCTCCATAGTCTCATCGTACCTGAGCATAGATGGGGGCTCCCCTTGGTAGGGATGCGGCGCCAGCGGCCCCCCCAGGAAGTCCCCCAGAGCCACGAGTACTGGTGTTCCCGTCATGCGGGCCTCCCTCAGCTTCTGCAGCAGGCCGGGGTCCCCAGCCGCCAGGAGCGGGAAGTGAGGCTGGCGCAGCACCTGATGGAAGTGGGCGCCCATGAAGCGCAGGCAAGCCTCCTGCAGGTCGGGCAGCCCGTGTACCTGCGCCAGGCGGTGCAGCTCTAGGCAGTTACCGAGCCGCACCTGGGACAGCAGCAGCCGCAGCAGCGCCGTGACCTGCAGGAAGGAGGCGGCCTCCACCAGCCCGGACAGCAGGCCCGCCTCGTCAGCGTCCTCGTCGCCCGGCGCCGTGCCCAGCAGCTCGCCCTCGCGCACCTCGCCGGCATCGATGAAGTCCAGCACCAGGCGCAGGCCGGGCGCGCTGAGGCCGCGCAGCTGCTGCACCTCGGGGCCGCCGGCCTCGGCGCCCCGCGCCTCGCGCATGCCGGAGCGGTACAGCGCGCGGAAGTAGTCGCTCTGCTCCAGTAGTTTCCTCTTGCTCACCGGGTAGCAGCGGCCCTCCAGGCGGATCTGAACCACCTCCTCGCCCGCCATGACCGCGCCCGGACACGAGGGGCGCTCCCACCCGGCCCCGACCCGGGACCGCGGGGCCTCGAGCGGCTCTCTCCGCCACCTCCGCGCCGGCCGACCGCGCAGCCGCACTGGCGCCCGCCGCCCCTCCGCGCCACACTTCCTCCGGGCACCGCGCCCCGCGCAGCGCTTCCGCCCGGCCCCGCGCAGCGCTTCCGCCCGGTGAGCCGGAGCGCGCTGCGCTTCCTGCGCAGGCCCTTAGAGGCGCCGGGCCGAGGGGCAGTGACTAGCTTACTCTCCTTGCACTGGGTGCCACAGAGGCGAGTTAGACAGAAACCTGCGTGGGAGGAGGAGGGGTGTAGGGAAGCTCTGGTTTAGGGAATCAAAAGTTGGCGTAGAGCGCCGGGCGAAGGCGCCAGGCCACTGGCCTCTCCGTGATTTAAAGGGAGCTCGGGGAATCCGCTCAGCGGAGTAGAGCACGGGGCTTTTGGCGTTTAAATCATGTTTTCTAGCTGCCGTCGTTTCCTGCTGCAATCTTCCTGAACGCCACTCCTTGGGCAGAGGCCTGGTCCTCTCCTTCCCATTCCTATGGCGGCGCCGACCTGCCAGCCCCGCTATGAGGCCTAGGAGGTTTAGGACCCACTGTTTCTTCCCGTCTGTGCCTTCCTGAGCAACAGAATTGGGAGGCGTTGCTACAGCGAATGAAAGTCGGACGGGCCTTGTGTTGCTTGTAATATGTGATTATGCTGGAAGGAGATGAAAAAGAGTAGTTTGTTTTATGTTTGAGTGTTACTGAAGATGAATCATAGGGATGCCGTTATTTGGACTCATGTCCTAGTCGCCAAAAGACTAGGCAGAAAATCACAATGGAGTCACTCAAGGTAAAGGTGCATGTTACCGAGCTGAAACTAAAGTGCTTATCTGACCTAAAAATCAGAATTACTGTAACAGCCAGATTTCCCAATCAGCCCAGTTTCTTTCTGTTTGTTTTGGTTTTCAAAGATAGGGTTTTGCTATGTAGTTCAAACTGGCCTTGAAAACTCAAATTTTGCCTCAGCCAGTGTTGGGATTATAGGCATAGGCCACCACATCAGCCTCCTTTATGCTTTCTTCAAGCCCTCCTGTCCATAAAACCACCTTTCAGCTCTGACTATGGAAACACTTGCACTGTTTTATGGAACAAGTAAAATGTTGCCCCATTGTAGAACAGAAAATAAAACCAATTAAGCTGTAGCATCAGAGCCTTAGGAGGCCCCTGTAAGAGGAGATGAGGTCTTGGACCTGGCCTGAGGAATGGGGTTTGGTGCACTTGAGACTGGGCTTGAACCCAGGACCTTCATCCTGACCCACATTCCCTGTCCTTTTATATTTTGAAACAGAATCTTGCTAAGTGGCTAGGCTTCATATTTTTGCCTGAGCCTCCTAGAGTTCTGAAATTATTGATGTGTGCCACCATGCCTGGTTCCAGGCAGGTTCTCTGTGTAGTTGTAGAAAAATATTTCAGGACACATGGGTGATGAAGAAGCATAGGCTGATTTATGAGACACGGTTAAAAAGTAGCAGCCAGGTATGGTGTATAAGCCTGTAATCCCAGCATTCTGGAGAGGTCAGACAAGATAGCAAGTTCAAAAAAAAAAAAACGTTGTAGTTCAATGTAAAGACACTGAGTTCAATCCTCTGCACCTCAAAGAAGAGAGAAAATGGGGAAGAACTTCAATTTGAGCTGAAAAGGCACAGCTTTGAAGAAGATCAGACTGGCCCATTGACAAAGGAATGAGCCTGCGTAATCATTATCACAGTTCTAGTTTTACAGTTGGCTCCAGAGAAGTCTTTATCTCTTCATCAGCTGTTTGTGAGATGAGTGTCTCTGCTTGGGATGCCTCAGTTGGGCAGAGATAAGCAGGAATCTGACCCCAAGTTTGTTCATGTTCTGTTTGTTTTAGTATATAGATTTTCAAATTTTTCTTCCTGTTTTTATTGGTTATATAGATTAATTATGTTTAATTTTGACAGAGTCATACATGTATATAACATTCTTAGGCCATTTTCACAATTACCCCCTATACCTCCAACCATATATTTTTGGAGGCAATCAATGTGTGTAAAATACTTTACACATAACCGCCCCCACATTATCAATCCTTATTCAGTGGAACCTTAGTTCAGATTTTATTCTATGTTTCTGGTTGCAAACCAAATTGAGAGCTGAATCAAGTTTCCCCATAAATTCAACATTGAACCTTACTATTGAATTTGACCTGCTCTTTTCTACCACTTTATTTTTCTTGCTGCTGGGACAAAATTCCCAACATCCAAAGTTAGGGAAGGAAAGGTTTATTTAGCTCACAGCTTGTAGAGGTTTCAGTCCACAAACGACCAGCTCCAAGGCAAGGTGGTATGGCCGAGGGGCAACTGTTAATGGCAATGGAAGATACAAAAGTAACAAGAGCAAAAGGGTGAAGCAAGCTTCCTTTTTTGCTCTTTTTATCCAGACTGCTGGGCTTGGGGCAGTGCCAGTCCAGTCAGTGGAGTGATTCGCCAGTCACCCACCTTTAATTCCAGCACCCTGAATCCCCACGTTGCACTAGATTCAGCTACCTGCAAAAAAGCCTGTCTCCCATAACTGATGAGGCTTTGGGGAGACATCAAGACACAAACCATAACATCCTTATTCCCTTCCTCTTGTCTAATAGTCTCTTTCCTACTTTTATATCATCCTTTTTTTAGATTCCACATATTAGGGAAAACATCCAATATTTGTCAATCCTCAGACTGGCTTATTTCAACATCATGATCTGTGAATCCATCCATTTTCAGGCAGGTGACAGAATTTTGTCCTTTCTTGTAGCTAATACTGTGTTGTGGATGTATACTATAGCATCTTTTTTTGTTTGTTTGTTTTGTTTTTTGTTTTTTTTTTAAGTTTTTATCAGTACCAGGGATCGAACTCACGACTGCCTGCTTGCAAGGCAGGCACTTACGCCACTGAGCTAAATCCCCAGCCCCTACTATAGCATCTTTATCCATGCATGGTTCCATTCCTTGGCAAGAATATAACATGGATGTGTCCCCTTTATATTGTACCACAGTAAACATGGATACGCAGGTATCCCTAACGTATGCTGACTGATCCCCCTGGGTATTTACCAAGAAGTGGTATAGCTGGATCTAGTGGTAGCTCTAGTTTTAGCCTTTTGAGGAACTGCCATGTTGATATCCATAGCAGCTGTGTTAATTTGCATTCCTACCAGTAGTGTGTAAAAGTTCCTTTTCCCCCTGCATCCTAACATTTATTGTATTCTCGATGGCCATTCTGACTATGGTATGGGATCTCAGTGTACTTTTAATTTGCATTTCCTAATCCACTGGCTTTTATTTTGTTTTGATTTTGAGACAGTCTCAAATTTGCAGTCCTCCTGCCTCAGTCTTCCAAATTGCTAGGATATGTCCTACCATGCCCAGCTACTTTCTTGGACTCTATGAAAAACTTCCAGTGCTTCATCTTGCTTTTAAATCATTCAGATAAGACTCTTTTTTTCAGATAATCATCTTTTTGCCATGGGACAGTCTCAAGGTTTTTGGGGTTGTAGAGAGAGGTAGGAGAGTGACCAAGATTTAACAGTCCCTTTGGGTGAAATGCCACAATTAGGAATTAGGCTAGGAGATCCTGTGTGAAAGAGCCTTGCTCCAAAATTTATTTGTGCTTTGTGGTGGATTAACTAAGGGTCAGTTTGTAACACCAAGATGAACTGAATCAGCATCGTGCTGGGCGTGGAAGGCCCACCTGAGGATTGTTGCCAATAGCCTAAAAGGAGAACTGGAGGGAAGAGGGTGTGCTGTTGATTCCCGCAAAGAAGCTTGTCACACTGGCTTTCCTGATGTGAACTCAGCTGTTTTTGTCATCAGAGGAGCTCAGGTCCTCACTGTCACTGAGGATGGCTGCAGTTCCTTCAGGAGAGCACTAGTCCTTACCTTGGGCATTGCTTCCTGGCTCCAGTGTATTTCTCTCAGCCTACTGGCACAGATCTTTCATCTGCTGGCACAGATTCATTCCGCTGGCACAGACTTTCTAGTGTCCACCTTTGGGCCTTCCCATGGCAGATCCTTAGTACATACTTGCATGACATATTGCCATAGGCTCTAGGTTTTCTGCTGGACACATGGAGGACATTGCTATGGGATCCAAGCTCTTAGCTGGATTCTTTGGATCTCTAGTGTGTGGACAGATCTCCTGTACTCTTTTGTATTTGACTATTTGAGTGACTATTATAAAATAAACTAAGTGTCCTAATCTTTTTCCTTGTAAACCCTGACTACAACATGCCTCAAATGATAATGCAGGGCTCAGTGGGTCAGCCCCAGAGGAAAAGGCTGTTCATCTTTCTACCTCTGGACAGTGTGACCAGTGGGTACTGTTGTTTCCTAGACATCACATTTCTGCTCAGGCTGGCATTCTTCACCGTTTGAAACTGACTTTCAGCCTGTTTTAAAATAATACTCAGTGAATACCTTGCACCTGAAGACCAACTGAAGCACAGTACTGTTTTCAGGACAAGAGCAGGCTGGACAGGGAGAATAGTAGGCCCTGCCCCTGCAAGCTTTATGGCCCAGATGTGACAATATAAGTATCTGGGGACTGAGAGCATCTTAAAAGAGCGAATCATTTTAATAAGTCACAGTAAGATTTTCATTGAGCTAGAAAAGCAGCATCAAAGCAATGAAACTCCTTAACTTTAGAAAAACCTAAAATACTATTTCTAGCTTCACGAAAATATTGTGTTGCATAACTAGAGGTATATTTGTATCTGTTACTGGCCACTAAATGATAAGGAGTGGCCTCCGTGGGACTACGTCTCACTGCTAGCCTTTTATAGTATCTGTTTTTACAAAAGACTAAAGGAATGAGCAGACACAGGGTTAGGCAATTTCTTTAAGAATGTATGGAAAATATGACCCTGCAAGCAGAAAAATCTTACAAGATGTTTGTAACAGCATTGATTTTAAAAATTGGAAAACATACTGATGTAGGGGGATGAAACTCCCAACCTACTATATATCCAGTATGAGTTCATGTTCTCTAAAATCAAAGAATGAATTTTAGGAACAACAGAAGTTAAGAGCAGAATATATTTATTAAGAGAAAGAAAGCTTCTGTCTAAAGGACAGAAG